TTTTTAATAAGATTTTATTTGAGAGAGCGAGAGTGAGTGAGAGAGCACAAGCCGGGGTGGGGAGGTAGTGGGTGGTGGGGGTAGGGGACACGGAGAGGGAGAAGCAGAACTTGAAGTGGGACTGCCTCTCAGGACCCTGATCATGACCTGAGCCAAAGGCAGATGCTTAACCGACTGAGCCACCCAGGCGTCCCTGCCACCTTAAATGCCATACGTTTGTGTAAATATTGCTAAATTTTCTAGTGAAAGTTAAGGTTTTTTTGAAGGGTATTAACATCTGAGGTTACTTCATCTTCACTAAATGGTCTGTCCTGGTTCTTTTTCTTTTTTCTTTTTTTTAAAGATTTTTGTCTATCTATTAGAGAGCAGGAGTGGAGGGGCAGAGGGAGAGGGAGAAGCAGGCTTCCCGCCAAGCAGGGAGCCCGAAGCAGGGGCTTGCTCCCAGGACCCCGGGATCATGACCTGAGCCCAAGGCAGACCCTTCATGGGCTGAGCCACCCAGCCGCTCCCTGGTTCATTGTCACCAGTAGTTGTTACCATTTGGAAACCATGGATTTCTGAATTACATTAGGATTACATCCTAATGTTAAATAGAAACCAACACTTGAGGTGTTTTGTTTTGTTTCTTAGTAATCCATGACATTTTATTATCACTACATCTTGGATACTTATCCTGCATTTTTACCGAAAGGTACTCAAGTTTTGAAAATACCTAAATAACAAACACCAATCAAAATAGTTCTGCAGAGCAGCACCTCTTGCAGGCATATGCTGTGGTGATTGATGCAAAATGCTTAGCAGGATTTTCGATGTGTCCCGGATGGCTTTAATCATTAGTGTGAAAGAACTGCCTTAACCTCACAGAAGAGATCCAATTCAGGGTCAGGATCTTGAGGTGGCAATTCCAGGGTAGGGAACAAAGGCACCTCACGGAGCCCCATGAGATCGACCAAGAGCAGCCTCTGCAAAGAGAAGCACCGATACATGGGTACTGCTCTTGGCTGATGGCTTTAGCTGCCCCATTAGCCTGCCTTCAACGTCCAGGCCACACCAGGGCTAGGAGTAGATGTATGAAAAAGAATCTCACTGTGATGTTTCCTCTTTAAAATAGCATCTTGGCCACTACCTCCGCTGAGGACCTACCCATCTGCTCCTTGGGCTACTAAAAGCACCTGCAGGTGACTTGGCCGCCTTGCGTCCTCACTCACCATCAGCTCTCCATAGAGGTGTGTGCCCATGGCCAGATCCCCTGAAGGAATTTCGCCACATCTCTGTACACTTTTCTGTACTTTTGCTTAAAAACGATTCACGTGACCGATGGCGAACCTCTGCATCCTACTGGGGGAGTTGGCATGTCCTCTCAAGACTTTGCGGAGTTTGGGGGTTCATGGTCTTCTGCTCCAAGACATGCTCCAGAAGCAAGATAACCTGGTCTGAATGGAGTGAGGGTCCCAATGGGGCACAGACCAGAGCCTGGAGTCCTCCCCAACACTTCAATTTTTAAGGTTCTTTACTTTTTATCCATTAAAATTACTCTTCTTTCTGCCCATCTAAATCTAGAAATCTCTATCCAGGGACGCCTGGCTGGCTCAGCTGGTAGAGCATGCGACTCTCGATCCTGGGATCCATGAGTTCAAGCCCCACGTTGGGCGAGGAGATTACGTAAAGAAAAAAAAAATGTCTATCCAAACTATTGTCATGTCTATATTCAGTTAATACTCTCACCAAACTATCTGGCAATAATTCTTGCTGCTCAGCCTAACTTCTTTGTACTTGCTGAATATGGGATTGACATGACTAGCCCTCCACTTCTCGTGGTAACTTGCAAGACACACTCCCTGTATTAAAATGAGTTTTTATAATCTCAAATACTCTGCAATAGAACTCACATCCTAGGGGATAAAACGGGTTGGGATGGTTTTAGGTTTAAACATTTGATTTCCACTCTTAAAGGGTGTGTCTAAGCAATAGATGGTGAAACATAAAAGAGACACATCCACCATGGGCAGTATATAAATAGGACAATCAGTTAAGGACAAATACAGAATGTTAATATGAAGGGCTACTTTGTGAATAACAGTTGCATAGTCCAAAATGTTACCTAGGATGTTTGTGTCAAATTTGTAATATGTCTGCAAGCATTCTCAGTTTTTTAATTGTTCATGATAAGAATGATGTTTTATCCCTATCAAAATACCAACCACTTTTTTCAAAGAAATGGAACGAATAATCCTAAAATTTGTATGGAACCAGAAAAGACCCCGCATAGCCAGAGGAATGTTGAAAAAGAAAAGC